CCTCGGCCTGCCAGAGAGCTAGGATTACAGGTGTGAGCCACCATGCCCGGCCAAGAATGGCTTCTTAGTGTTCTTCTGGCTTGCATTTCCTCGACTGTTCCTGGCGCTGGGCATACAAATACTGTGTCAATAACAAAAATAACTCCGTCACTGATCCCTTAACATGTTAATTGAGGGGGCAGGTGGAGACGTTCTGAGCACATCCTTCGCCCTCTGAAGTGATGTCAGAAGAACACCCACCCGTCCCCAATTGCTGTCCGATGAAGAGTATGGACTTGGCTGTGTCTGACATATCTGAACACGCTCTGCTGTTTTGTTGCTCCCCAAAGGGTGGGGAGAGCTTGGGTCCGGAGGGATGTGTTGACGGTGGGGAAAGTAGGAGGTTCTGCCCCGTCTGTGACCATCTCCGTCTGTCTCTTCGCTTCCAGACACCACCCAGATGAACAACGCAGTGCCCACCTCCCCCCTGCTCCAGCAGATGGGCCACCCACATTCGTACCCCAGCCTGGGCCAGATCTCCAACCCCTACGAACAGCAGCCGCCGGGGAAAGAGCTCAACAAGTACGCCTCCTTGAAGGCAGTCGGTAAGGGCCTCCGGATGGAGCTTTCTGTTTTCTTTCTCCTGTACTTCGCGGCTGCTTCTAGTCCTTCCTTGCTGTGTGGGGCAGAGCGTTCGCACGAGGGGCAGAAGGGGGGTGAGGGCTGTTTCCTGGGGAGGAGGCCCTGGATGCTCACCTGGTCCCCAGTGACACTTCAGCCCCTTCCTTACCCCCTCTCTGCCCTAGTGAATCCTCAGGGAAGCCTGACATAGAACCCGGGTCTCTTGGTCTCAGAAATGCCTTGCCTTTCAGTGGGTAAACACCCTTCGCCTGCGAAGTCCGTCCCATCTCTGAGAAGTCGGTAAACAGTGCACATTTTTACCCCAGGCAGCTTCTGCTCTCCAGGATGTAAATATTTACCAGGGCAGGCAGCCTGGAGCTACTCCTAATCCAGTTCTTACCAAGTGTGAGATGCTGCACTGGACCTTTTACACACGCTGTCTTATTTTCTCATAGTGACCCAAAGAGGAGAGAACGATATTATCCCAATTGTCGGATTTGGAAACTGGGACTCTAAGAGGCTAATTTTACTTGCCCCACATGGAGCAGTAGTGGTTGAAAGAGCTGGGAATTGAACCCTTGTTCTTATCACTCGAGGGCCAATGCTCCCACCACTGCCCTGGTTCTGCCCAGTCCATTCCGCGACCCATATGTGTGGGGGGGTGACAGTCACCCTGCAGTGACCGAGGCTCCTGAACAGTTTGCTCATAGCAGAGTTCTATCCAATGGAAGCACAGCCATGGCAAAGTTAGCGATTCCTGATTCGTGGTTGGCTGTGGCCCCTCAGGTTTTTTGCCTAAGCCAGTAGTTCCCACGTGCAGATGCCTTTTTCCAGAATTACCTGGAGAATAGGCAACATACCGATGCCCCAGTCCCACCCTAGAGAGTTTAACTGAACTGGTCGAGGATGGGGTTCAGACATGGGCATTTTTAAAGCCCTCTCTAGATGTTTCTCCAGGGCTGAGAGCCACTGATGAAAACCATGCTATCAGCCCCAGAGCCAGAAAAACCAGATCGCATCTCAAGTGCTTGCTTGGAACTTCTTTTTGTAATATCCCTAGAAATTCATATACATATGCATTCCTATATGTTCTTAATACAGAGGGAAATTCTTCTCCTTTCCTTCTCACTGTGTCCTGTGGGTTCTGTTTGTCCTCCCTGTTTCAGAGGAGAGATTTTAAACCCAGGCTCTCCACTTAACCTGCTCCTTCTCTGGGTTTATGCCTTGGGGAGCTAGAGAGAACCAGGCAGATGTGAGTTCGAATCCTAGCTCTGCTACTTACTGTCTGTGTATTCTTGGGCAACACTTAACCCCTTTTAAGGTCTCAGTCTTCCAATCTGTAAAATGGGCATAAAGGTGCCTGTGAGGTTAGCCAATGATGACTCATGTGATAGCCTACTAAAGGGTATTCATTCGACATTGATTTGTCACCTCCCTTCTCCAGTGCCCCACTGTCTTGCCACTGGTAGCCCCATGGCTGTACCCCTTCCTGATTTCCATCTGAGAGTATGCTCAGATCTCACGGGAAGGTCTTCCTCTCAAGTGTCTTTAAACAGTCTCCCTTTCAAACACAGGGTCCTTGCCTTTCCAGCAGAACTGACGTCAGAAGTCCCAGACTAATAAAACAATGCACTTTGGGTGGCATTCCATTTGATCGGTAGAGGTCCTTCTGCTCTTTAGCTATCTATAAAATTTATTCCCCCAGACTTTCAGCTCCTTGAAAACTTAGGGCAGGCCAGAAGACCCTATGGACCATGTGCTTTGTTTTATTATCAACTGCTCACCTTCTTTCCTTCACCCGCTGCCAAGCCCCTCATTAGAGAGGGGATGGGAGATTACTGATTGATTCCAGTATGAAATATCCTAATTCTGTTCTAAACCAACACCAGAGCCCAAAGCACAGATGCTATCATGTGTTTATGGTGGTGACCATAGTGTACACACATCGGATTCACAAAACTAGCATATTGGTGCCTAGCAGAGGGCCAGGCACATATCAGGTGCTTAATGTTTGTACCGGAAGTCTACCTTTGGGAAATTTATATTTCCCGATCTCCTAGGACTTCCAGATGGAATCACTGAAAGAAGGGTTGAATCAAATTTGTAATACAGGTTGTGCAGCCTGACACAGGCTTTTCTAAATCCGAAGCCTTGTAAGACCTTCCCTAGTGGTTACCCATATTGCATGTCGAATTTCTATGCCCAGCTCAACCCTCATTACACCCCATGACTGTAGATTCCTTCTATTCCATACTGTGTGTTTGCATAGCACATGCATCCTGAGCATGTTCAGATATACTCAGATATTACTAGGGAGGGATGAGGGCTGTTGCCTAGGAGAGCAAGAGTCGGGGCGTCTTTGCTGATGTCACTGTGGAAGTCTTCATAGGCTATTCGGTGGCCCACTTCCCTTTCTGAGCCTTGCAGCTAAGTGATAAATAGCATATGCTGTTATATTTTATTCTTCTTTAGGAGTAAAAAAAAAAATCAACCCAGATGTCTTTTCATTTTTAAACTGGTCACACTAGCCTATGCAACTCATTTCTTCAACTTAAGCTCAGCGTCCCTTCCCCTCAAACACCCAGTAAGTAGCTCTCTGGGAAAATAACAGATGGACATTCCAGCACAGCGCCTTAAATCTGTCCAGGATGCATGCAGGACTCCTGCACATAGCAAATGTCTGCAGTGCATTTGGAAAGAAATTTGCAGTATGAAAATCATTTGACACTCTTTAAGTAACCCTCTGTTCCGTAAATCAGGAACTCCTGAAATGTTTGTTGAATGAATGAATGATCTTGTCTTTGACAAGAATAATAATAAAAAAAAGAATAGCTTGGTTGTAAGGAAGCAGCTTAAATCTCCTCGAAAACTCTGAGGGATCTCACTGGGTGCACACCGCCCCCGCCCCCATCCTGGATGTGGTTGATGTGCACCGTTGGTGTTTCCTCCTCTTTTCTGACTACTGTGGGAGTTCTCAGGGCTGTCTCTGAGCCACAGATGGTCTTGTGAATCTGGAGGACCAGTTTAGAGCAGACTGAGGGACTGCTTGACCCAGTGGGTCACCCAGGAGTCCAGCCTCTGCCTGTACAAATAAAATGCAAATCCCATAATAAGTGTTCTTTCAAGGGTTCTTTATTAAGGCATAATGTGGCTTCATTAATAAAATCATTACTACTCAGGAGAGAGGTGGGTTTAAAAAATGCTTTACTGTTGAGAGCTCTGCCACCTTCAATAAACAGACTCATTTTCTAAAAATTTCAATTCAGTGACTCAGGGGAGGGTTAGACAGCGTTTAGGGTTAACTGCTTAGTTCAAAAATACCTCTAAAAAATACGTGTCTCTGGGAGGCTTTAATATCCAGAACACTAAGCAGATAGAGATTCTATCTCTAACCTTACTTAACTGTGTGACTTTGAGCTGGTCACCAAAACTCTTGCACTTCAGCTTCTGTGTGTGAAAAATGAGGAAGCTGAACTATATGGGCTCCAAGCTCCATTCCCATTTTAAAATTAGAAAATTGATTAATTCCACTCATTCTAGTTATTAGACTACCTGGGCCATTAAACACGTCCCATTCATTCACTGCCAATTTGGGCAAAGGGTGGTAACTGTTGGTTGTTCCTGAGACAAATTCGCCTTAAACCTGCCTTCCTTTCTTTTGTATTCTATTTTTGTTTGCTTATTGAAATCGTCCTCATTCATGTTTAAAGAGAGCTCTTTTTTTTCCTCTACAATTCAGGGTTTTGGGCGTGTACCATCTGGTCATATACAGCATGTGACTGCAGAATGGTCTCTGCTCCCAGGGAGTTCACTGCCCAGCTATCGGTAAACGATTAGCACGCGCTAGGAAATGTCAGGGGCTAAACCATATAGAAGTCTGTACAAGAAGGGATGATGGGTTGAATTATCATTCATTCATTCGATTCATTCATTCATTCTCCAAACATTGAGTCTGGTTTCCCTTGATTGCAGGTCCCACTGAGGCATGAGCCGAGTCTGTCCCATTTGTCAATGTTTCTCCATCACCCAGCACCTACCATGTGGGGTGCTTAGTAGATGCTCCCAATACCTATTTGTAAAATGGAGAAAACTGTCATGTGATAGGCACCTGATCAAGGCAGGAGCCCGAGATGATCAGCAAGGTACAGAATGTAGCATGGCCTCTGGCAGTGGTCAGGGCTGAGTGGAAGACCTAGCTCAGACATTGATCAAGTAACTGCAGAAATTATTTAACCTCCTCAGGTCTCAGTTTCCCCATCTGTAAAATGGAGATAATAATTATAATGCACAACTAAGGGCTTGGAAGGTTTAATGATATGGTGCAGGTAAAGTTCTCAGCCTGACACATAGCCAGCCCTTAGCAAATACTACAGCATATTCAAGTCTCAGACCAGAGTCATTTGCTGGTCATATTCTTCTTCTAATCTTCAAGATACACTGTTAACTTGATTAATATACATTGCCCAAATTTCATTTTGAGGGAGAGAGCTGGGTCCATATTCTTTACTCCAGTTTGATGGGAAAGACATTCATGAAAGTTAACTCACATCTCTTTAGATGGCTTTTCTGAGCCGTCCTAAGGACCAGCAAACAATCAGCCCAAACCTGTCCAATTTCCTCATCTCTAGTCTGGACGATACATGTGAATGCCCAGACATATGGGTGCTAGAGTCCATCAAAGAAAGGCTCAGTTTTGCTCAATTGACTCTCTTTACTAAGGCAAAAATGTGGATTTAAACATTTTAGAAACATTTTCCACCAAGGTTGAAGTTGAGAAGTGTCTTGTTATAGACTGAGCCAAAATGTATCCTGAAAATTCAGTTGAGCACACAAGTTTCCTGGCCTGAGCCACCCATGTGGTTATAATATGAGAACCTACCTGTGGTTCTTCAGAGGACAGTTTGCAAGACAGAGGTGTTTGTGAAAATATCCCTAAAGGTCACTTGACGGTTCAGAGAGAGATGGCTCCTGCCTCCGGAACTGGAAAAAAGTCACCCTTTCTTATAATTCCTGATGGGCTGTGCAAACAGCAGGCTGCTTGCACATTGGTATTTATCTCCTATTGACCCCTCATCCGGTGTTTCCTCTAGGTTTCTGAGGGTTGAACTCCTAGGCTACCAAAGGTTCCTGACCATGTGCCCTTAAGATGTCTCAGTGCAACCTTGGCCACCCAGTATAAGAGACAGGATGTACTAGCATCATTGATACAATGCTGTGTGCCTTCATTTTTAATTCTAAGTTTAATTTTATTTTAAGAAAACATTTTCTCTGCTGCTATTTGACAGACAATTGACTATTTTGCCAGAATCACATTGCATTTTCCAGTAGCACTTTTGCAAACCCTAGCAACAATGTGCTTTGATGTGGCAGGAGTTCCCTCTTTACTCCTGGAATCGTGCATGGAAACCCTAAGAAATGCATGGCGCTCTCAGCCAAGGATTGACCTCTGCTAGTTTGATTTTTATTAAAAGTTAGGGCAGAAAGGGGGTTAATACTACTGAACTCCCAAACAGCACACCTCTGTGGGAGGCATTATTTCCACCATTTTTCAGATGGGGAAACTGAGGCTCAGTGTAGTTAAGTAATTTTCCCATAATCACACTTTTAGTCAATGACAGAGCCAAGACTCATTCAAGAGTGTCTGACTCAGAATCCTATGTTCTTTCCATGAAACGATGCTGTCTTCTGCATAGCAATTTCTGGCATCTGAAGGAAACAACCAGGTAAAAGAATGGTTGTGGGTGGGCTATCCCCCATTTAGGGGGGAAGGGTGCTTACTAAAGTATTCATTGTTTTTCTTTGTTTGAAAGTAAAGGTTTTCCCATGATGCTGAGTATAACTGAGGTATATGCCACAGTTGAGGCACATTTTACATACAGTTCATAATTTTACAAAAATGTGTATGTTTGGGTCACCACATCCCAATAAAGATAGGAAATATTTTTATCACATTGAAAGTTCCCTCACATCCCCTTCCTTTCAATACCGTAGGTCCACCCACTCTTGATGAGCATTTTTCACCGAACGAATACTTATCTAATGTCCGTTGGTGTGATCAAGTGCATAGAGGACCCTTAACTACATGTTCTGTAGCCTGCGTGACATCTTATTAAATGCCCTTATTGTCAATGAATTTATGAAAGAGAACTTGTTACCGCCTTGTCAGAGCTAAGCCCTATATCTGAGGTACCGGGGACAGAGGTGACAGGGAGTGGTTGCTGCCTTCAAGGCAAGCAGTGATGGATTTGATTTGTGGGTAAGATGGTTCCTTGGAGTCAGTGACTCAGTGGCTCAGTCAGCCCGTGTCCACCCACACAGGAAGGTCTGGGGCCACGTCACTATTTCCAGATGACCCTGCCTTCAAGGGAGAAGAAACACCACGTCATCCCAGGCGGGTCCCACTTAATTTTAACTTCGTCACCCTTCTGTCACTCCATTTCCACTCATGTGAGTGATGAGCGTGTGGAGTTCAGACCCGCAGGGGGGATGTGGCAATTTGAGCATCCTTTGGCACGCCTGGGTGGCCAACCAGAAACATTTAAATGGGGCCGGATCTGTGCTCTATAATCATCCAGATCACAGACCGTTCCCTGCATCTCCTCTCAGCTGGCAGCCTGATATATCTCTGGAAATTGTGCCGAAATGTTGAGGACTTGCTCTTTCCAGGTAGATTCCTAAGAAAGGAAAGGGGAGCGAATAGCACACACTGATTGGTCAGGGTCCAGCCAATGAGGAGAAGCCTCATGGGTAGGTTTGCCCCACTTTACGTAAAACCCAATCTTACAGAAAAGAACTATCAAGAGGGTGTGGAGGGGCAGTGGAGGTATAGTTATGCCGTGGCCATGTGCACCATCCTTTATTCCATGAAAGGAGTCACCATGGACTTCTGTTAATAATGTTTGATCCCCCAGGGCTCATTCCGTACATCTGAAAAGGAATTCAATTTGGAGAAACTGATTTATAACGAACATTCCAGGCACACATCTGTTCTGTAAAGCAATATATGACTCATGATGGGATTCTCAGATAACAAGCTTGATCCCTTTAGCGATTAGGGGAGTTTCCATACCTTAGAAAGAGTGACCCTGTGGATAAAACTGAATTCATTCATTCATTCAACAATATTTTTAAAACACAGACTGTGTGCTGGGCGCTGTGGTTAGGCAGTCTCTACCCCACGGAGCTTACCACCCGGTATTTAAGGGTACAGTCAGCAGAGCCTGTCCCAACCTTGAATTTGGAGCTAATAATCTGACCCCTTTCAGGAGGGGGATTGCAATAAAACAGGATCAAAATTCATCTTTTGTCATCAGAGTATGTATGGTCTTTAGCCAAGGTGGGCTCCTGGAACTCAAATTTTCCTTTATTTCTAAGCACATTGAAAGTTAGAGCCAGTTTCTACTTGAGAGTTCTCTCTCTCTCTCTCTCTCTCTCTCTCTCTGCCTTATATAACTGAAAATATCTAGGCCTTTTTCAGGGCACTTCTTTTGATCTTCTGTTGGGTGTTAAGTAGATACTGTTTCAAGGCCTTGCAGAAAGAGGTACACACAGTTGCATGTTGACACCTGGCTCCTCCCCCTGTTCCCTGGGTGTCCTGAGGCCAGCTCCCCTGGGAGGCTGCAGCCGGGGCAGCCCGCAGCACCTGGGCATGAGGGCACAGCGACCCCAGGGCGCCCTGCAAACAGATCAGCATCTCTCGATTGTTATTTTTTTAGGAAGTTCTGATGGTGACTGGACCGTATCGACACTTAAGTCACCAAAAGGTACCGTACAGCTTTTCGTAGCTCTTGTGTCCAGGTGTTGTTGACTTGAGCATTAAGTGACAAAGGAACAGAGAGTCCTAGTGTCTGTGTGATCCATGCACATGTGTGTCTGCCTTGGGTGGCACCTGCAAGTCCGTCTGAGTTCCAGTGTGTAGGTGTTGTGTGTGTGTGTGTGTGTGTGTGTGTGCATGCACACGGGACACTTGTTGGACAATGTGCTCCGCCTTGCTCCCCAATATTCGTTGCCTGAAGGAAAACGCCCTATGAGAGACCGTCCCAGGTAAGGCAAAATACGTTGCTTTGTCCTCAGAAAGCTACAAAGGCAATATGGCAAAACACAAGGTAAATTAACGTGGGAGAAAGAACACAACTTCTGAGAAAGAGATAAATGCAAACAAGTTATTGGCCAAGGGTCTTGGGAATGATTAGCCTTTTAGGGAGCTGACCACTGTTTTCAGCTTTCCCGAGGCAGCCTGGGGAGCAGTGAGAGGGAAGGAGTTGGTGGACTTGAGTCTGTGAGTTAACTGGCTGGGTGGTTGGGCCAGGTGGTAGCTGTAATTAATATATTAGCTCCCTAATACGTGCCAGAGTGCTGGCCCTTTACATCACTTTATCGTTTAATTCTACGATGACCTGACTGTGTAGGTGTCACCATTCCCACTTAGAAATGAGGACACAACGTCTGAGCAAGGAGAAGTCTTGCTGGTCTCAAGTCACGTAGCTGCTAAGTGGTAGAGCTGCGGTTTGAACCTGCGTCTGCCTGACTCTTCTTCTAAGCTATTTCCCGCTGGGTGTGAGAGAAGCAGCTCTTTTGAGATCAGGCCAGAAATGCCGCTCTCTGCTTTCGTCACTCCTTCTGCTTTGTTGGATTTGGAGGTAGGAAGGATGTGGCTGACTCGAGGAGCTGGAGGTGGAACTCTAATGACCGACCTTGAACTGTGGGGAATTAGGAGACATTGCAGGGACCTGGGCAGGGACCTGGGCAGGGCCCTGGCATGGCCATTTTTGCCTTCTCAAAAGATCGTTCTGGCTTCTAAGTGGAGACTGGATTAGGGGAGCGTGGACTGGCGTTGGGGACCCCCACCAGGAGGCTCTTGCAGGCGGGCGGTGACTTGCAGTGGGGTGGGTAGAGGATGGAGAGAAGAAAGCGTAGTGGAGGGAGAATTGAGAGGCTGCAGGATGCAGTGAGTGAGTGGAGCAGAGGGGAGGAGGGACCGTTGGACCAGCGATTCTCACGTTGCAGCAGCTTGAGCACACATCAGCAACATTTGGAGGGGTGTTAAAACCTGGATTCCTGGGCCCCACCCTGGAACTTCTGATTCACTAATCCTCGGATGGAGCCCAAGGAGTTGGGTTGCTAACAGGTCCCAAGGTGATCCTGATGCTGCTAGTCTGGGACCACACTTTGAAAACCTCTGCAGTACAAATCATCTTGCTGGGAAACTACGACTCTTTGATTAGTTCTCCAGGTGTCATTTTATGAGCTGAAGGCTCTGAAGAGGGGCATTTGACCAGGGTCCCAGAGGCTCAGAAACAACCTGGGCTGTGGGGGTGAGGGGAGGAGGGTCCACTGTATTTCCTCACCAGGAAAGAGTTTTCCATCAGTGTGTTTAAAGAGAATCCTCCGGCTACCCAGTTGTTGCCTTGTGAGAGACAGATTTTTGGGTTTTGCGTTAGATAATAACTGTTCACATGTCAAAGTCCATTTTTAGAAATACAAACAATTTAGAACATGACAGACCTACTAATTTGAGGCATAAACTTTTTTTTTTCTCTCTCTCCCCTGTGAAAAACAAAGCCATTATGATCCCCGTGACAGCATTTGGAGGCAGTCTGCATCTCTGTCCTTAGATCAGCTTGTTGTTGTCTGATGGATTTAGAACATATTTCAGGACGGGTCAAAAGCAGGGGCTTGGGAGCTGTTTTCTACCCAAACCAAGTTAACTTCTCTTATCTTGTTAAATGCACATTTATTTATGCTGTCTTGTCTCGGGAGGGAAACAGGCACCCCAGCGAGGCCAGGTCCAAGTTCCTCTGGGGTCATTGTGCCTCTAGTGGTCTCTACTTAACCTGCAGACCCAGAGCCTAGAGGAGGTGTGGTAACAAGGTTGGGGGGAGGGGAGTGTATGCCCTCACCCCCTCCACATGTTCCCACTTTCTTAAAAGCGAGAGACAAGCTGGATGTGACGGGCTCAGACTCAGACACCCCTGGGTTCCAATCCTGACCCCAATATCGTTTGCTAGTCTCGTTCTCCTCAGCAACTTATTCAACCTCTCTGAGCCCCTATTTCCTGATCTGCAAAACAGAGACAATCATGTCACCTACCTCCTAGGTCATTGCAAGTTAAACCATTTAAAACGTGTCACCGTCCCTGGCGTGTGGAAAATGATAAATGCATGTAGGTTGTTACTGGTATTATTATTACTGTTGTCATCAGGTGAGCAAATTAAAGCCTTCGAAAAATCCTGTGATAATGAAAACTGGTAAACTCTGTTTAACCTACCATTTCCCACATGCTTTTTGTCGCGGCCCGGATTGCAGAACGGGGGATGGACACAGAAAGAAACACACAGACACACACACAAGACGTACAAGACTGAAGTAGTAAATTCTACCAGTCGCTTTATTCTTATACTTTTCTCTGTCTGGCAGCTACTTCCTGGTACGTGACTACCTTGGGCGCCCTGAGGAAAATACATTTTCATTCCTTCCTGACGATTGCTTAAGGGAAGCAGACGTTTGCATCTTAACTTCTTGCATCTTAACTTCTTCATCTCATTACCGTATGCAGGACAATGAGAGCCTTGGCTTGTTTGCAAGACCCCAGGCGCTTGGTTATCTGTCATAAAGCTATCTGTCATGAGGAATAGTTCTGTTTGGCCAACAGGCCGGGCCTGGGCCTATTGACCTCTGGTGCTAAGGAGAGCACACCCAGTTTCGCTGACTCTGGGCTTAAGCCAATTTTCCCAGGGACGGTCCCTACACTTTTGGCATCCGATCTCTTTTCTCTTTAGAAAAACCAGTGAACATCTTAATATCCGGTGGTGTGTAGGTTGCTGGGAACCTACTTTGGGAACATAGTGCATTAGGCGGGGACTTAAGTAGAGGGGTGGGTGTCACCTGGGGCGGTAGGATAAGGAAGGAGAAAGGACAAGGTGCCTGAAGGTACCAGTTTCCTGCTGCCACCTGCATTGACTATAACGCAGGAGAAGGGGATGTGTCTGCCAGGACCGGAGATGCAAGCGTCAAACTAGCGTGCACGACTCAGTTTCCACTACCTAGGGCTTCCCGTGCAAAGTGCCCCCTAGTGGTCACTGCTGTTGATCTGCCCATGCCCAGCCTGGGGAACACCTGTCCTGTTTGTTTAAATCCCACCGTGGAAGACACCACCTCAAGCCCTGCAGACTGTCCTATTTGAGATGAAGCCATGTCTTTGGAAATCGGTTCCTTTTGCAAAATGAATCTTAAAACCTGATTCAGTCCAGTGCCAGGGTGAAGCAATCAAGTTGGGGGAAGCTGCCAGCATAGAACTGTGATTTAATCCCTCCGCTTCCGAGTGGAATCAGCCTCTGTGCTCTTTCCCAAGCTGCTTACGTGCTCCAGACTTCCGCTTCTGCCATTGCCAAAACAGTGGCCGTGAGAGTATCCACTCTCCCTAGGGTTGGAGGGAGTAACTCTGAGACAAGGCGAGTGCCGTAAAGTGCTTAGCACAAGGCTTGGTGTGTAACAGGTGCTAAATAAGTATGAAAGAGTCCAGTACTCACAAAGTTTCCATTCGCCTCTGCTGCGGAGATAATTGAGTCTTTCAGAAAGAAATACACTTCACTTAGCTTTTCTGCCTTGACAGACGAAGAAACGGGGTCCCCATGAGAAAACTTAGGTTGCCTAAAGCCACACAAGAAAGTTACATCACAATAGGACCAGAATCAAGACCTCAAAGAGGGGCTTAAGGACTTGACCCAGAAGCACCGGAGATGCTTGTTCCAAATGCGAATCCTGGGCCCACTCACTCCTAAGGAATTGGAACCTCTCAACATGGGGTCCCCGCCTATTCATTTTAAAAATGCATCTCCTGGGTGACTCTTATGTACATGAAAGTTTAGACCTAACTTTTCCTAAGCCTCCATCCTAGATGCAAACACAGTTTGCAGTAGAGCACCAATTTTCACATGCCAGCATTTCTCCCAACATGATCATGTACTTTTGCTGTTCGCTGCGATAAAACTGTTTTCTTAGTGGTGGTTTGAGCCGGGGCTGTAGCTGGAAGGTAAGAAGAGCATTAGAGGTGAATAGTCTTGGATTTGGTTTCCTGCTCTGTCACTTATTAGCAGGGACAGCGTAATTTGGCAGCCAAATTATTCAACATCTCCAGGCCTTAGTTCCTTCATCTGTCACATGGGAAGAATGATACTGCATTGTCATCTTTGTATAACACATTGACTGCCACACAGAAAAACCAGAAACTTTTCTCTGGGGCCACATTGTTTTATTATGAAAATAGAATAAAAACTTTGAGTATAGTGTAAAGGTAAACATAAATAGAAAAATGAAATGTATTGACTTCTATTCACTTAATCCACGTTTTTAGAATTAAATTGTCAATATTAATTGTAACAATAAGAGCATCAACAAGTAAGATTTTATATGTGCTTCACATGGCCCCAGGGTCAAAACTAAAGTGAGTCAAATACAACTCTCATGGCAGTTAATGTGTTAAGAGAGTTTAAATGAGACAATGTAGGTGAAATGGGTTAAAATAGTGTCTAGGCCATAGTATTCAATAAGTCCTACTTCTTTTTTTCTTCTAAGAAAATTGAGGTAGCCCAGTGGGAAATGTTCACTGAAGAGATGCTATGGAAGGCATGAGACAATAGGCAGTGTGTGATAGGGTTACGGTTCCGCTGGCGTGCACACATCCTATATACCGTCCTGGGGGAACACCCACCTAAAGGCAGCTTTAAAACATTACTTCATGAAATTCAGTCTTTTGCAATTTCCT